CATAAGGAGACAAGGCAGCATGAGCAGTGTGCCGCCGGCTCCCAGTGGGGCTTTAATCTCACAAAGGCCATAACCGAACTTTCAGAGGCAAAAGGCTCTGCAATTCAGTCTGTGCCTGTGCATGGTTCTCTTCTAGATAATTCGCGACTTCATTAGCAAGTTATGATCTTGACCTTTAAGAGCCTGTAGACTTTTATGTTAACCCTATTCAAAGGTAATGAAGGCACTTGCACTTGTGGAGAGACCATGAGCATTCTGTTCTTTTTTTTAAAATTATTATTCTATCTTTCCATTTCAACGTAAAGGACGGAGGAAGAGAGAGGCTGGTGGAGTCATTTTTGGCCCAGCTTTTCTCCGCTGCTCAAGCTGTTCTGGTTTATGTGCGTGGAGCCTTTCAGTGAGGGAGCTGGAAATATTGCAAACGACATGCCTGTTTTAATTAATTCCACCTGAACTAGGGGAGTGTCTCAGTCCCAAGGAGACTCGGCAGTTACGGCTGCTCCTGTTCCAGTAACTTGAGTGCACACAAATCCGATTTGTGGAACACTGTCTCCTGCCAGGATGTTCGAGTTGCCCCCTCCCCTGTCACCCTGCACAGCTTCTTTGAAGGGGCTAACCCCTGTTGGAAAGTCCCAGCCAGTGTCCTCGCCCAGCAAGGTGATTTTAAGCAGACATCATCACCTCTTTAGGGTTCCCTTACTGGAAGATCCTAATCTTCGTCAAAGACTATCTTGAGGGCTGATGTCGCTATTTTCGGTTACCACTTCTTAAAATTAGTTAATTGGGAATCACAGCCTGGGACGTTAACAGAACAAATGAACTGAATCAGAGTGTGTTTTTCCTGGCAGTGGCCAGTTCTGGCATTATTTCATTCATTTGTCTTCTCCCCTTTCCTTGGACTAAGCTATTATGCAATGGTCAGAAGGGGTGAGGGTGGGAGGAAGGGTCTCGGTCCAAACAAACTTCATTTACCTCATCACCCAATCGTCTATTTTTTAAAATGTTGAAAAATAGAAGTACTTTCTTCTAACCACCCTTGTCACCAAGTCCGATGGTGTCCTTTGAAAATGGCAAAACTGAATCATAGGAAAGGATTTGGCTTTTGCTCCAGCTCATCCACATGACAAAAACACAACATGGAAACCAAGAAACGCTTCATTGAAAGTCCCCGCTGAGCCCCACGAGGAAGCTGACGTCCCTGCATTCTGTGGGCAGCCCTAGGGTAGCATCCAGGCTCTCCCAGGGGCCCCCACTTGTGCCTGTCCTGTGACTTAGTTAGTTTCCCTGATTTTGCATGGCACCCTGTGCGTCCCTCATTCTCAATGACATTACTAAACCAACCATGGCAAACGATATGTAACTCCCTCACATAAAGGAACAATGAGTGCACTCATGTTCAGTTCTTTACAGAGGAAGAGCCATTTGGTTCTCTTTACAATCTAGTTTAACCTTGTAGCAAACAGTTTGACCTTGATGCCCCGCTGGGTTGTATCTCCCTTACATGTTTTATATGTTGATTCAATTGACAGTTAACACAGAATCCCTTTCCCTTAGATAGAGGTAAGGCCTCCTTGTTTTGTTTTGTTTTTAGCCAGTCCCCCCAAAGTTTGAATAAGGACAAACAATTCTTATGAGTGTGTCTTTGCATCCCTAACATCAAGGTTTGGTGCCATGAAGGATGACGCTGCCGAACCTTGAAGTCGGGGCTCAGGTCCATGGACAGTTAAGCGACTCGTGGGACTAGCCTGTGTCTAACTCCCCCGCAGGCACGTACCGGGACAGCCTGACTTGCTCCCTACTCAGCCGTGCTCCCAGAGTGGGGCTCCTTTTAGC